TCACAATAACAAAAGAAAAATTACTAGATTTTTTTTATTATACTACTTTTTAAATTAAGTATTTAGTTTGTTAAGCCCAATTTTTTTTAGAATTTAAGAAGAATAATTTTATGTTTTAATATTTAAATTTTAACATGAAAAATTAGGAATTTAAAATTTAATGTTTTAGAATTTAACATTTAGTTTTATAATTTTAAAGTTTTGGATTTTAAAATTTTAGAATTCAATAATAAGAATTTCAAGGTTGAAGTTTTTAAAACTTATGACTTAGAGTTTTAGGATTTAAATTTGGACTAAGATTTAATATTTAATTTTTTTTATCAATTTAAAACCATAATATTTTTAGGTGACATTTTAATTGGCCACTCTTTTTTTCAGCTTTTTTAAAATTTTATTTTCTTTAATTTTCTCAAAAGCATTTATTCCTTCTTATTTTTGGATATATATTTACTTATTGATAATTCACATGTTTCAATATTTTAGAATTCATAATTAAAGCACACGTTTTATATTATATTCTTATACTACTTTATTAGTTGTATTACGTGAGTGGACATTATGTTCAATTTTTAATAGAGTATTTTTTGTTTCCTCTTAGAATAATGTTTTATTCCTTATTTGTGTCATATATAATATTGTATATTTATTTTTGTATATTTTTAATTATTTTCAATAATTTTTAAATTAGTTTCAATTTAGAGATACACTCCTTAATATTTAATATTTTGGTAATAATATTTTAATTTAATATTTTAGTTCAAAAAATTTTGAAATTGTTTACGAAACTTAACTTTTACACAAAAAAAATTATTTGTCTTTAGGATTTGAAAATCTTTGGCAAAAACTTTTCTTAAGCCCCCAAGCTTATCTAAAAATAGCATTTAAGCCCCTAAATTAAAAATGAAACAGATGAGCTCTCAAACTCCACTAATGATGCAAATAAGCCCATCTAATTCATGGGTGTCCATGCTTTCAAGGAGATATTAAACATGAAATACTATTTGGTTCGTTCATGGGAAAGGTTTATTTACATTGTTAGGTGGAGTTAGAGGGCTTATATGTTTCATTTTTAGTTTAAAGGCTTTAATACTATTTTGAGGTAAGTTTGGGGGTTTAAGAAGGATTTTTGCCAAAATCTCTTATAAGTATGTGTTTGGTTTGAAGGAAGAGAAATAATGTAATTGTCAACCAATTAGATTGTAATATTTGAAAATGTTATAATTTGATTAGTTATAAAACACATTCCTTTTGCCAATTATTTATATAATTTAGTGATAATTTCTTTCCAATGGAAGTAAGAGTTTTGGAGTTTGAGTTTTGGAGTTTAAATTACATGACATGAAAAATGATGAGAAAGGGGTTGCCTCTCATTCTATAGGAAGAAAGCTGCCTAAAAAAAAAAAAAAAATCTCATTTGTTCTCTTTCATCTTTTTCCTTCAAACCAAATTAATATACTATTTTAAAGGTGGTAATTTCCCTTTCCTCTCATGGGAACTCCATTTAATGCACCCTTAACAATACAAATTTTTTTTTTAAACTATTGTAAATTGGGTTCAACCAAACACTTTAACAAATTTTAATGTATTTACTTAATTTATCATTCATTTAATGACAAAACCTAATATTCATTATGCAATTCAAGTTTAACTTAACTACTCAACACATTTGCCATTTAATATTATAAAGAAAAAAAATCATATGATAAATTTTTATAAATTATTGTAAATTGAGAAGAGAGAAGATTTTTTTTCTCCTTCAAAAAAACACTATGGGAGTGGGAAGTGCTCTTCATCGCTTGGTGCTCTTCATCGCTTGGGGCCTAACTACCATTGCTAATATCTCCATACTACTAATTAAAATGTTCATACTTATTGAGAATTTGGAACAAAATCATCCTTGTTGTAAATACTAAGAATGCTATTGTTTCTTTTATTTGTTGATTAAGAATTAACACTAATGTCTTTTTTGGTGTAAGGGAGAGGAAAGGATGAAAACTTCTCTATTTGGATGATAAAAAATTGGAGGGGAAATGAGGGGAAGTGGGGTTTTTCCTTCCTTCTTTATTATTATTATTATTTTGCAATTTCATCTAACCAAACAAGTGGAGGGGACTTTGTTTCCCTTAAACCAAACAAGAGGTAAGTGCATGGATGATTCTCTTATGTCAAAATTCCTTGGATTGCTTTGTTTTCATTCATTATTTGGGAAATTTAGTAAGAATAAAAAATAATGACAAGTTTTATAAGAATTTTTATTTTAAGATTCTAAATGATTTTCTCTTATTATTTATAAAACTATTAAACTTTAGTCATTTTTTCTTATTTAGTCTGATTTATCTAATATATAACTTGGTATATTTTACTAGTATAAACCTCCACTATATTTTATTGAATAGTAATACTAAGAGAGCTGCCTTTCTCAAACCTATTGGCAGAGGAGGGATTTTCAAAGATCATAATGACAATTAGGTTATGGAGTTTGTCAGGAATATAGGCATTACTAATAGAGTAAGTGTTGAACTTTAAAATATAAA